GATTTTGGCCGAAAACTTTGAAATGGTCAAAAAATACCCCCAAATGGTCAAAAATACTAAAAAAAGAATCGTCCCCTGACTTTTGTTGACTATTTGGGAAGATTCCTCCTGTAGAGGGACAGGCCCGACTTAAACGTAGCTGGATAACGTCCAGAGACACGGCGCGGACTGCGCATTCAGTGGTGATGCTCAGAGCCTACGTCGGCAATCCCTAGCCGAACAAAGCGGCGCCACGCGCTCAGACGACATGTCACCGCCACCTCCCCGTTTCGACCACTTGGAGCACGCGCTCGAATGTGTGGCACATGTGTTGCACCTATGTATGCCACGTGCGTTTACTATTCCCGCGTCGATCTAATTTACCACTTGAAACGTGTTTCGCTCGTTTACCCAAGTGTGTAAAGGATGTCTGCTTGTTTTCCGGAAGTGCCAGTCATGACGGGCCTCACGGATCGATCAGACCTGGAAGCTGCGTCTGAGGATGGGATCGAGAAATCTGGCATGAGAAGGGTAACAGACGGAGGAAACGTGTCTAACGAAGAACGCAAGGAAGCCTAACGAGACCCGATCATGCTCTCATAACCGATCAGGACTGCACTGCGACGAGCGTGTCGACCGCTCAACGCCGACAGACTGAACGGAACGCAAGCCTAAGGACATCGTCCTCCTCCTTCCTCCTCCCAAGCCCACTCCTCCTCGTTCATCCTGATCCTCCTCAACCTCCGAGCTCATCCTACTCCTCCTCCCCCGCCTCCTCATTATCTTCTTCGTCTTCCTCCTCATCCTCCTCCTCCTCATAGTCGCCAGCATCATCATCGTCAGCATCATAAACATCAGCATCATCATCATCATCATCATCATCATCATCATCATCAGCATCATCATCATCATCGTCATCATCGTCACAATCATCATCATCGTCATCATCATCATAATCATCATCAGCATCATCATCAGCAGCATCAGCATCATCATCAACATGATCAGCATCTTCATCACCATCAGCAGCAGCAACATCATCAACAGTATCATCATCAGCATCAAGATCATCATCATCAGCAGCATCGTCAGCATCATCCTCATCATCAGCATCATCA